CAGATGAATCTGTACATAATTTGTATCGGAATAATTGAAGTGGTTGATAGAAAAAAGCTGATTGGAGCAGTTTTGGTTTTTGATTCAGAAGGTTGTATAATTTCCATCCTAAGGGTAATCATTTCAGGGAAGTGCTCCATGGCAAAAACCACTTGTCTAAACTCCTGAAGTTTAAAGAGAGTTTTTGAAAGCATCTGTTATGATTTGGTATTTAGCTAAGTTTGTCAATAAAATAAGTATCATTAAGGTTTTATGCCGCGTGCACAATTTAAATTAACATGGATTTGAGGAAATAATTTAAAACACTGTAGGTTGGTATTAAGCACAAATACATTCCTCACTCCCTGTTTGCCGTTGTCATCGCCAAGTTTGAGAACATACAGATGCATGTATTTCATGGCTTAAATAGGTCTTTTATCTGAAATACTGAGGGGGAAAAAAAATCTCAGAAAGACTGTGTGTCATCAGTGTAAAACAAATACTGACATTTATCAGAGTTTGTCAATATATTCTTTCCACTGTATCCAAGAAAGAATGTGAGTATCTGGAATGTATGTTAAGAATGAAATTGGAGCATCTGTCATGGCAGATGTGCTATTAGGCAGTTGGAGCTGGGTATAAAGGGCTTATCTGAACAATTTGTTCTGAACAGTAGTCAGAGAGGGAGAATGTAGAAACTTAACAATGTAAGGCATGTAAAAGCAGCATGGCCAAAGTAAAGGGAACAGAGCCTTATTTCATTAACAATTGAGCATGTGGGAAGAATTCAGACTATAAACAGTAAGGAAAATAAAATGTGTTCTCACAGCAGTGTGATTTCTACTTAAAGGTGTTTGTGACAGAGGTGTAAATGGGCTTTGGGAAGAGTATTAGTTTTTAGAACTGTCTGATGTTGGGAATAAGTGAAAGAATCAATACAAAGATGCCTTTGCAGGTTTGTTTTTTGGCTTTGTTACTAATTGAAAAGCTTTGTCATCCTGGAATTTACTTTTTCCCTCTAGATCAGATTGAGTGAAGTCCCTCTTGGATTTAGTGACCAGAATATAAACCATCTACTGATGTTTTCAGAGTTGCTGGCCTACCCACTTTCCTTCTAAAATAAATCTGCATTAAATTCTGTCTACACAATTTTCAAATTGAGGTGTATTTTATATGAAGTGGTTTCAAGAAGAGAGGATAACCTTGTGGCTAAGGCATTCGGTTGATGTCTGAGAACTGGGATCTCACTTTACCACATCCTTCCTGCATGATAGAAGGCAATTCAGTTATGTTTTGAGCTTGTTTTTTTAATAAAGATCTATATTCTGTAATACATACACCTGTGCTTGTACAGGTGAGGCATAGGGCTCAATTCACTTTGTCTTGAGTAGCTGTCTTGCACAGTTCTGTTAGGCACTCCGTGTATCCTGGTTATCCCTGGTTTTGCTTAATTTAGACTTTACAGTCTGCAATCATGAGTACATATAGAGAGATCAAGGTCTACAGTAGCTAATATGGAACTTTTATTTTTTGTGATTTCATAAATTTCTGGATTTGTAGCTTAATGCTATAACCAAGGCCAAAAAGGGTGGGGTTTTACATCCCATATCTTACCAAAATTTGTTTAATTTCATGACAACAAATGGATAAACTACTTTTAACTTACTAAATGGAATCTGAATTTCATGTAATCAGTAGAATAACAGAACAAGGAACTTCCTTGGCTCGTTCTTGCATAGTCCGTGTTACTTGATAGCTACTTAACTGTCTACTGGCAGTTCATGTAGTTGTAATAATACCTCAGGAAATATGTGCAGCGATACTGTTTTAAGAGATGTATGGCTATGCAGAGACATACGTGCAAGCATGGGTATGGGTCTAATGACCATTGCTTTCTAAAAAGGTCTGAAGTCACAAACAGGAGTGTATGCCTCATCTGCAATAACAGTGACAGTTTTTTGGGAAAGCCTATAGAAAGCAGCATCTCTGGATAGCAAGCCATTAGCTACGAGGAAAGAAATATTACTAGGAAGTTGTGTTCTATTAAAAACTGCTGTTAGCTACCGCTATGTATTATTTATTTGTTAATTTATTTTATGTATGGGTGAACCATAGTATAGGCAGTAGGGGAAGTGAAGAATCCTGAAATCATGCTTTCTTTTCCTTTTTGACCTTTTCTTTTTTATGCAGGAAAAGGACCAGCGCAGCCTAGATATCAATACTGCCAAGTGTATGTTGGGCCTTCTTTTAGGAAAAACATGGTCCCTTTTTCCAGTATTTCACCAGTTTCTAGAGGTATGATGTTTGAAACAATTAACTCTTTTTTTTTTTTTTTTTTTTTTTTTTTTTTTTAATTTTTTTTTCAGTTTTTGAGTGGATTTTTTTTTGAAAAAATTAATCCTTTTTTTTTTTTTTTTTTTTTTTTTTTTTTAAATCTATCTTCTCTGATATTTTAACTAGAGGTAGAATAAACAGCTAAGAATTTTTTGTTCTGATACTAACCCCCAGAGCAGCACTTTGTAACTAGGTATCTTTCCTTTCATCCTTTTCCCCAAATCCCTATGCTGTTGAAGTTTATTTAATGCAGGACAAAGTATAGAATGTCTTTGATTTGCATTTGGACTTTAATTTTATTGCTGTATGTTTGTCCACTAAAGGATATCTTAATCAGAAAGATGAATTATTCAACACTAGTTTGACTACTTAGTGGTTTCTTTAATCCTGTTTAGTTTTAGGTGGCGTACAGATTAAAATAATAATTCATCACAAGGTTTAAATTTTCTGTAAGAAAATCTGAATTTGAGGGAGTTGAAAATATATTTTACTAACTTCTGTTTCTTGCCTTAAGCAGCAATCAAAATACAAAGTTATCAATAAGGACCAGTGGTGTAATGTTCTTGAATTCAGCAGAACAATTAACCTTGACCTCAGTAACTATGATGAAGATGGAGCCTGTAAGTACTACCATATGTTGGTATTCTAAAATAACATATTTCTCTGAGCTTAATCATTCACTGTCCTTTTACAAAATTTTGTAAAATACAGTTATTTGATCTCTCTACAGGGCCAGTGTTGTTGGATGAGTTTGTGGAATGGTATAAAGGAAAACAGATGACATAGGAGTTTAACTATGCACAGCCACTCAAGAGTCACTGTTACCACAGTTATGTCAACCATTAGCCATAAACTGCTGTTTGTATCGAAGTGCATGCTGCTTTTCTTGCACTGCATCCCTTTTGCAGGGAACTTTTGATGTTTGCTATTTAACAAGCTAGCTTATGCTTGCTGTGTAGCATTGTTCTCTTTGAAGGCTGCTTTGCATTTTGTATTTACACTACGAATTGGTGAACTTGCCAGAGTCTTCACTGTGATTATGTGTATATTGCTGTCTAAATTTTGTATATGTGTATAAAAAAAAAAGCTTCACCTAGGGATTATTTCTGCCGAAATGTATTGTAAAAATAATTTGTGGCATATTTCTAGTCATCACTTACATGTTTGTTGAAACTTTAGTTACTTTGTTTTTCTTTTGGTCTCAAATGTAGCATTTCAGAAAATGAAATGAACAGACTGCTTGGGCATAGTTATCTGAAGAACTATTGTCAATTTTGATGTTACAATTTGAGATGCCAATTTCTGAGGGGAGAAGATGTGCTGTGACTTTCTTCACCGGAATTCGCCAAACCTGACCTAGTGCTTAATGGGAATGAAACAATGGTGTCTTAAAAAAAAATAAAAATATATATATATATATATACACACA